GTACATAGGTAGATATAACACTAATCTATAGATGTAAACACATTTGATGATAGATCTGTGTGTTTAAAGTTGATTTTGACAGCCCGGGCGAAGTCGGACCCAACACTTCTGACATAGATTTTCTTAAGAAAATACAGTAAAAATGCTTCACTTTGAGCCCCTTGTTTTCTTTAAATACGATGTACCGTGACATTATAAAGTGGTATATAGGTAGATATAACACTAATCCAAAGATGTAAACACATTTGAAGATACATCTGGTGTGTTTAAAGTTGATTTTGACCGCCCGGGCCAAGTCGGACCCAACACAAGCCAAACACTTCTGATAGAGACTATGTTGAGAATGTAAAGGGAAAAGGGCTTCACTTTGAGCCCCTTGTTTTCTTTAAATGCGATAAACTTTGACATTATAAAGTGGTATTTAGGTAGATATAACACTAGTCTATAGATGTAAACACATTTGAAGATAGATCTGTGTGTTTAAAGTTGATTTTGACCGCCCTGGCCAAGTCGGACCCAACACAAGCCAAACACTTCTGATAGAGAGAATGTAGAGGGAAAAGGGCTTCACTTTTGAGCACCGTGTTTGCTACTGCAATATGAGACACTAAAGTGTTATATAGGTAGATATGATATTATAATTAGTCTATAGATGTAAAGTATGTGTTGTAATTTTAGAAGCGCTTTGACAGTTATTGACACGTGTCGTGTCAGTCCTATGACATTCGCGAATATCCACTTGCAGAAAACATCCTGTGTTGGTTTAACATGAATTAGTAAAGGTTAATTAGGTATGCCAAACACGTTAATTAATGAAAGAAGAGTAGTCAAAACACTGTCATTTCGAATTCCTGCCGAGGACGTCACACCCCTGCACGCTAATGTCGGTGAGAAACATTCTCATCAAAGTAAAGACACAGTCAAGACACTGACTTTTCGGTATGAACTCTCGGTATGTAGCTATAATTATCAGTTTATTACATTGCTGGGCCGCGTCCCAAACAAACCCTCTCATCCAAAACTTATTTAACCAAAACATTAGCCCAAGAAACCAAGCTCTAGCTCGCAAACACCCCTTACTCACCCCAATATCCCAAAGAATAACTAACTACCTCAATGAACACCAAACTCAAAATCTTAAACAAAACTGCAAAAAATCAAATATCTTCACCCCTAAACTCAAAATACCCAAAATAAACACAACGCCAGCAAACCAAATAAATAAACAAACCGACCCAAACATAGCTAAAACCACCACACTCGCATACATACACGAAAATTGGCCAAATTGGTGTCACATATACACTGACGGATCTTCAGACCCGATCTCCAACCACACAGGCTTCGGAGTCCATACCACACAACCAGTTATATCCACACAATCTTACCGACTCCCTAACAACCAATCTATATTCACGGCCGAACTTATGGGCATGGCCTCAGCCCTGCATAACCAACAATCTAAAAACAACAATAAAATCCTAATTCTCACCGACTCCCTTAGTGGACTACAAGCCCTCCAAAACAAAAATACCAAAAAACGACCTAAATTAATAAACCAAATACTTAAAAGCTCCAACGACCTAACAAAAGCAGGCAAACAAATAACCTTCTTGTGGATCCCCGCCCACGTAGGAATTTACGGCAACGAAAGCGCCGATAAAGCAGCTAAATTATCTCTCAAAATACCAGAAATAAGCCTAAACCTACCCATCTCAAAATCAGAAATTAAAAGTGTAAACAAACAAAAATTAACCAAAAAATGGCATAATCAATATCAAAACCCAAATAGCCAAATCAAAAAAGTGCTCAGAAAACCACTAGCCGAACCTAAAATCCTACACCCCTCAAAAAAAATTGACAGATTAATTACAAAACTCCAAACAGGACACACTAACCTAACTAACCACCTAAAAAACTTAAAAGGCACACCACAGGCAACTGCCCCCACTGCAAACAACCCGAAACCACAGAACACGCACTCATCCACTGCACCCACTACCAAACACACAGAACCACACTACAAACCACCCTCAATCTAAATAAGGTTCCTACTCTAGATGAAATACTAAACCCTCAAAATAAACTAGAAAACTTCAAGGCCCTAGGCGTATTCCTAATCAAAACAGACCTAATTAAGCGCATCTAAAAACTAATTAATCTACCAATCCAAAATCCAATAAACATACAAACACCCTTAGTTCCCTCCTCCACCCACCTCGGCATTTATTCCAAATTTAAAAATTCCAAAAATTAAATATAATTAAGCAACCCCTAAAAGCCCCCTCTTGGGTTGCACACACCACTTTCACCCTTTTCGGAATACACTAAATGGTCTGGCCAGGCCCGTGTGCGAAATACGCTACAGTCGGAAAGCGCACGTTAAATCTTCTATATCAGTCAGTCAGTCATTGCTGAAGATACATTTTGATTCAAACTCAATTAAATGAGCAAAACTATCCGTTTCTGGACATTTGAGATCTGCCTAGATATGCATGTTTCGTTTTATTATTCTGCAATCCATTTTTAGTATTACCCGCTGGCCCGGCCCTGCCCGGCCCGACTTTTCTTGGCCCGACTTTTAGGCAATCCCACAAAGCGATCTTAGCGCTAAGATGATTGTAACTCCCATACTTTAACATAGGCGTACAATAGTCGTAGCGCTAAGATCGCTTTGTGCAAGTGGGCCCAGGTGTTCGTGAAAAGGTGAACTGGTATCATCATTTTTATAGTGATTCTAGACGAATGTTTATTTATCTTATCGGAATCCTACAACGGACGTTTCTTTCAGCGGATATTTCCTATGATCATGGAAAGGTTTTGTCGTTTTTATTTACTCAGCTGTGAGATGATATATCAACGCCAAATAGACGGCGGTTTCGTTCAGAATTCATATTCACTCTAGCGTCATTCTGGGCTTCAGTGATGATGCAGTGCTGATGAATTTTTTACTTTAGTATGCATCTTCCTTCTAATAATCATATCATATCATATCATATTTTGTTCAAATCATATCGGTTTTGTTGTTTGTTATGTTATTAGAACAATGTAAAAAATAAAATTTTAAAGAAATATTTAAAATCCATATTAGTAGAAAATATTTAAACATTCTTTGTTAAGTAGCCATCGTTGTTCACATTTATATCTAATAGAATCTCTGTATAAAGCAGAGTCGATAGTACGATTCCGGCTACAGTAAACTACGTTTATAACGAACACGCTCATAACTAACTGACGGATATAACGAACTTATTTGGCCCCGTCCATTTGCTGTATATATGCTGTATATGTTCTTATAACGAACTGCGGTTATTACGAACTAAATTTAGTGGTCCCTTTAGGTTGTTATAACCGTAGTCTACTGTATATCATTTTTGTCACTGATATTGGAAATGTCCTCCACATGTCTACCATGAAACGTTTTGATAGCTTTACTGAGGACTTGAATGTTGTTACCTTGATGAACCAACGTCTAAACAAGAGACGTATGACGCTCTGTGATATCGTGGTAGAAAGAGCAAGCTCGATTGCACCTCAAGAGTTGTGAAATGTAAACACTGAAGGCTGGAGCTGCCGGAATATTGCTCGACAGGAAGGGAAAGTTGACTATTGGAAAGTTGAAGTCATCCCTCTTGTCATACAGTCTTGTGTTTTGTCACCCTGAATCTTTACGCATAGATGTAAATATGAAACGGACGAGGCGGTCTCACTGGTCTACTTTATTTCTAGTTCAGGTGGGTAAATCAGGGGGAGGGAATTGGCTTTGTGATTGTTATCGAAGGATATTAGATCATCGATATACAGTAAACTACGGTTATAACGAACTCAAAGGGACTACTATTTTTAGTTCGTTATAACCGTAGTTCGTTATAAGCATATATACAGCATAATTACAGCAAATAGTCGGGACTAAAAAGTAAGTTCGTTATATCCGTCAGTTCGTTATAAGCGTGTTCGTTATAACCGTAGTTTACTGTACCTGAAGCACAAGTTCAACTTCTTGGCCAAATAACCTTATTTTGACTTTGCCAAACGCTCTCTCACTGACAAGTTAGTCGTCCGTCTACTTTCGGTTTTATTCCGATAAATAAATACAGCAATATTAATATAACAAATAAATATAGAGAGAATATTTGGCTCATCGAATTACCTGACCTGATATTTTCTCGAGTGGTCACGAGATGTGAGGACCATACTATGTGACATGAGAACACAAATGTTATATTTATTATCAAGTTTCTTACTGATCTTCGCGATCTTACTCAGTAAACGACAGAGCCACTGAAGCAGACTGAAAGTAGTTTCAGCATAAAGTCTTATATCACTCATGTGGGACATCGACTTTGTTTTGTCAGATAGATAATTAGATCCTCAATGAATAAACTGCCGGGCAGAATAAAGTACACACCCATGATCGATGGTACAAAAAATGCAACAAACAAGAAATGGTTATTCGAAGATGTATTTGATACGCGTATAGTAATTTGTGTTTTGGACCTAACGTTTGCAGTGATTCGGTGACTGTTTTCAGCCCAGTACCGTTTTGATAAAGTTTTCCTTTTTACAAATCTTATTCCCATGTATATGCTATTTTTACATAAATATGGATGTCTTGTTTTGTTATAATGTGAATGAGTTCTTATTGCAGAAATCACTTGAACAATACGTGGCGGTGTCACGAAATTTATTCGCCCCTAGAATAAAATCTCCCCCCCCCCCCCCCCCCCCCCCGCGAATTTATATTCTCCCCCACCCTCTCGAAATAAACTCTCCCCCTGCCCTACGAAATAAAATCTCCCCCAGGGGGGCGCGAAATATATCCGCCTGGGGGAGATTTTATTTCAGAACAGATTCTCCGTGGGAGAATCTGTACCCATATAAAATCTCAGGGGGGAGTATTTGTACGGGGGAGAGTTTATACCGGGACACCGGCAGTGAGACAGATTTATATAACACTCTGTCTATTTTACTGACGACTCCATTCAATTGTCGTGTTACAGGGACTGGGAGAAACCACCTGAGTACAAGTGCACTCCTATAGTAAGGAAAGGTAACTGGCATGTCTGCATGGACGGGAACTACGCTGTGAAACCGCCTTGTCTGGTCTACTCGTTTGGGTGAGGAGATATATGTTTAATTACAGCAATTATTAATTATTTAAATTCTATTTTTTTCATAATGCATTGTCATAAAATTCCAACATCACTTTTGGTTCCAGCAGCACGTGTCGAGCAAGGCCCGTCTTCCTTGTGTGGTGTACCCTATGTGTACATGGAGAATCTCACCGGGGTGTCTTTTGATATCAAATATGTCAACACGAGTTGATAAAGAAAAATTCCTAGGCTTGCCGAGGAGTTTTGCCACTTTTATCAACGAGTGTTCATATATTTATGTCAAAAGACACGAGGGTGAGATTTTATTCATCATCCAACATCTTTCTTCCAACTTTTCCAGTTTGTAGACAGTAATAAGCAGTGTGTTAAGTGTAAAAGATACTGCTAACAGCTTCAGTGTCTCCTGTGGGAGCCAGTTTTGGATGATAAATGTTTAATTACAATTATTATTAATTATTTAAATTTAATTGTTTCATTATATCCTAAAATTCATCAAATTTCAACATTTTACGATTAAATTATTATCGATCACTCACTCACTCCTTAATAATAATAATTATTATTAATTATTTAAATTTAATTGTTTCATTATATCCTAAAATTCATCAAATTTCAACATTTTACGATTAAATTATTATCGATCACTCACTCACTCCTTAATAATTATTATTATTATTATTATTATTATTATTATTATTTACGGTTATATAGTTTAAAATAAAAAATGCAGGAAAGAGGGTTTGGGTTTGGGTTTTAGGCAAATCCACCGAGAACTTTTCGGAGAATGTGAAGACTCCCCAACACTGCAGCCTTCTGCATTACCCAGATTGTTAGAAGGATTGTATTCCTGGTAGAAAACCCGGGTACTTTCCCAATGTCAGTCAACAAATTGGGAAGTACCAAACCTAAGGCACCAAGAACAATGGGGAATCGGACAACCTGTTACTTGGGATGTGAGCGTGACATTTCGAAAGCGAGGTCCGCATATTTGCCATGTTTTTCCTGAATCTTGTCAATCTTAGGATTTTAGGAAAACTCGTTGTCAGAAGTCTTGAATACTCCAAGTACATTCAACTGAGAAGTAGTCTTATTATATCCCCGTGTACCCGGGACTAGCTAGTGCCCATACCATAATTCATAAAGATTATGAATTCAATACGAAGTGTTTTAATTGATACAGAATCTGGGACGACTGGTCTTTTGATGATGCAATGGGGGCCCTTGGCTGTGAAGTTCATTCTTTTGATCCGAGGTAAGAGAAAATAATGTCAAATTATGGATAAGTGCAACTTAGAAGGAATGTTTCATTCAAATAGTATGGATTTGTATCACAGAGGTCGGGGCTGTTTAACAGGCTTAAATATATATCACAGGCTAAGTTTATATAAAGTGTATTTAAGTCCCACTCTCCTCAGACTTGTAAACGTGGTGGTGGGTAGCCTATTGGTTCAAGCGTTCGCTTGTCACGCCGAAAGTAGTATAGTCTAAGTGAGCAGAAGGTAGTTTTGGTTGAGGGAGGTTGAGGGAAAATAGGGAAGGTGATTGGCTGATCCAAGTCACGTGATCGGATAGGATGACTCATGCATCAACAGCGCGTCGGGAAAGGGGGGGGGGGGGGGGGGGGTGAAAGGTGTGTGTTTATAAGGCAGAAAGGAATTCATAAGAAAACAAAAGTAAAGGATTATGAATAGAGCTATGTGTATAGCGTGCTGCCCTAAATAGACAGTCCGTACCCGTCAGCCCAGTTTGAATTGAGCGCGCTTGACAACTCACGTGGCCTCGTCGTTTCAAATAACCCACGCTCGCTAGAGCGTGCGACGTGGTTTGATGAATACAGGGTGTGTGTTGAAAGTACATCATACCACAATAGAGACGGGTTGTGTCAACATGATATACGCCGGGTAATGTAGGAATATAAAATGTACGTCTAGCTGGATCAAATTCATCTTGTACGGTCTACACGTTGTACATCATGAACGTTAGACAACCTGTATGGAAAAAAAATATAGACAAAATAGATAAGACTACACAATCAGCAAGCTAGAAGCGTTTAATTACATTTAGCGCGCAAGAACGAGGTAGTCATGTCACCCTGCATTGACTATAACTCTGAAGGCAGCCGGATTTCGAATCACCCCGCGCTGCCTACTATGGTGAACCATTTGTAAAGAAGGCGTTGACTTATTCAGGTCTGTCCCGGCTTGCATAGTTGATGTTTCAATGCTAGCTTTTCCTTTTAACGCGATGACAAATAAACCGTACGGTTTGAGTTTTAACCGTGTAACATGATGTGCACAGTTTTACTTCAGAACGTGCTATTTTGAAAATAGATAGAAAACTGATAAGTACATGTACCAGTGTGACGGCACGAAGCTAGGTTTGTCGGGAAAGTGATGGAAGCAATCTATAGGACATTTTCATGTTTACAATACTCACCCTTAATTCGAAGAGAGAACAGAGTTTATCATGGAAAATTGTTTGACGAGGAAAATGTTTTATTGGAAATATATGTCGAAGCAGGTTTATTCATAGCTAATGTATAGCAGAGAGACTAACCCACCGGCCGCCCATAACAATGTCAACATACCCCGGCCTTACAATTAATGTCAACATACCAGCCTCGCCTGAAGCTTCCCATTCATAAGTTGTGTGACCAGTGTCCCGTATTCATGATATGTTAGGGAAGATGTGTTGTACATTTGTTATTTTTAAAGGGAGTTATTTCAGAGAGGCGAGACTGACCAACCGATCCCCGTCAGTCGCCGATAAGCATGGGTTACTTAAGGTCGATTCTATACCTTCACGGGTGTAGTATGACGAAGACTATATACTAATATGATCGCTTTTTTAACATACTCACAAGTGTGCTGTGAAGAAAAGAGTGTCTTCCAAGATTCCCTGCACGTGTAAGACAGTATAAACTCTACAGTTGTGTAGCCCGACAAACAGTTTTACTCTCGCCAGCAAACGGATTGGACGTGAACAACATGAAGAAAGCATCAGATATTAGACTTTCCCCCTAGAGATATATTTAGGAAGACTACGTTGAGAAAATCACAACAGAGAAAGAAACCACAAGCAGCCAAGAAGTCGACGCTGAAGACAAAGAAGAGACAGGTAACCCCTAAAATGAAAACGATGACAACCAAACAGGGATCGAAGACAACACCCCAACCCGTGAAAATACAACATGTGTCGGAGGTGAAGGCTGTGGTGGAACGGGCACTTGCTGCCTTGAAGCGTCAACAGAGTCAAGGGTATAAAAGAAAGCTTCATACCCTCTAATAGCACACCGTATTGGATCACCATGGGGGTTGCCACCTGTCCGGACTGTGAAAAAATGTTTTCAAGGAGAGATGTCATGTTACGACACAGGAGAAATAAACATAGCATACCGCCGCCGTTACAAGCCCACCCGCCGCCGCAAGTCCACTCGCCATTACAAGCCCACCAGCTAACGCCACCGCCGCAAGCCCATCCGCTACCGCCTCCGCCGCAAATCCACCCGCCATTACAAGCCCACCCGCTAACGACGCCGCCGCCGCCGCAAGTCCACCCATCGCCGCCGCTGCGTCAAGCCAACCCGCCGTTACAAGCACATCCGCCGCCGCGGCCGCCATCGCAAGTGCACTCGTGGCTGCCTCATTTACCATGTATATCTGATATTCGAGAACAATTCTAGTTCCTGATTCCCTCAAATGCGCTCGTTGTGGGACCCAGTGGTTGTGGAAAGTCTGTGTTTACCTCTCATGTTCTCCGGCATGGCCTGATCCAACCCCAACCTACCTGCATCGTTTGGTGTTATACTCAATGGCAGCCATTATATAAGGACCTCGATGAGCAGCTGCCTCAGCTGACCTTTGTAAAAGGAATTCCCTACGATATCTTGGACGAGGATTACTTTGATGCTCGTCAACAGAACGTGTTGGTCCTGGATGATTTCCTGGCCGAAGCAAAGCACGACAAGCGTATTTCGCGGCTGTTTACTCAAACCTCTCATCACAAGAATGTATTGATCTTTCTCTTGATACAAAATCTGTTTCCGAGAGGTAAGGAATCGAGAGACATTGCTTTGAACGCGCATTATGTCACCCTGTTTCATTCCCCCATAGATAAACAGCAAATCAAACTCTTCGCTCATAGAATTTCCCCCGAACATATGGATCACTTTATGGCTATGTATGAAAAGGTTGCTGAAACACTCTATGCACAACTCACCATCGATCTAAAACCTACCACCAAAGATAAGGATCGACTGCATGTTAACCTCATAAATGAGGAAAACAGGAGAACAACAGCACAGTCTGAACCTGATCTGCGTAGGGAGAAGTTGACTACAACAGAATCTCTGGATAGTCCTCTGACACAAGAAGAGAGATTGCCCCAACATCAGCTCACTCCAATTGAAACCGATTCAGACACGAGTAGTGAGACATCATTGACTATGGCTACGGCTTGCGCAGATTGCGGGGTGCTGATAGATAACATGCACGATCTACAGCGACATATCAAACACTGGTGTCCGGCCAATAGCCTAAGAGAAAGCGTGCCAGACTCGAGAATGATGACGATGACAGTAACTTTGACGACCTAGCCTCTTCCCAGAAAGGCAGTGGTCTTGCCGTCAAACCTCCACGTTGGAAGTCAACATTCACTAATATGGAAGCCGAGGAGTGGCCAAATGTAGGCTTACAACGCATCTGGAAGCAGGTGTACGATACGTTTCATGACAAGATGAAACTGCAGAAAAAACAGTACAAGCGACAGGGACGAACGCAAGAATGGATTGAGAGAAGATTGAAACTGAGGTGGAAGGATCTAGTGCGTAGTACTCTCAACTATGCGATGGAATATACCACGTACTTTAAAGAGGCACCTCTGTTTCAAAACATGCTATACAACCTGGGAGACATGAATCCTTCCACGGAACAATCAGTTCTCAAAAATAAAATCAAACTCCTCCTAAAACCCAAGATGAAAGAGATCCTGCCTTTGATGGATATGCCGGAAATAGAAAGTGAGACTGAATCTGATAGCGTTGCAGAGGATAACGACGGTGATGACGAGGAGGAAGGTGATGATCGTGAGCAGAACGATTAGGCAAAAATACCCATCACTACTATATCAGTCTAACGGTCAGAAGAGAATGCCGAGTCAACGCCACGCGTCTAGTTTGATTCATATTTTGAAAACACCTCGTAAACTGAGGCGTTTGAACGATAAGAAACGCCGAATTTCCCTCTACGTGAGAGGAATTGTGAAACTGGGACCTCCTGGAAGGAAATCGAGCAATGGATAAAGCATAGACTATAGACAACCATTCAACCTTAAAACAGCGTAGGAAAGGAAACATTCAACAGTGCGAAATGTGTTTCAAAACATGGACTCGCTGTTTAAACAATAGGGCCTTCGAGCAGCAGCAGCATGTGTATATGAGTGACTAAATAATGTTCCAGAGTGAATACTATTGTCCATTCGTATATCACGGCTTTGTATGGAACCGATTGACTCGAATCAATAAATGATACGAAAGAATAGTTTGTTTTTTCTCAGTTTTGCATATTAGTATATAGTCTTCGTCATACTACACCCGTGAAGGTCCGGGTTATAGAATCGACCTTCAGTAACCCATGCTTATCGGCGACTGACGGGGATCGGTTGGTCAGTCTCGCCGACTCGGATGACACGTGCCATCGGTTCCTAGTTGCACAGATCGCTGCTCATGCTGTTGATCACTGGATTGTCTGGTCCAAGCTCGTTTATTGACAGACCACCGTCCTAGAGCTGGAATAATGCCGAGTGTGGCGTAAAACTAAATTCCCTCACTCACTGATACCAATACATCTAAAAAGTAATGTCATCATTTAAATGGTGAGTTTAAACGCGTATTCTACCCTTACAAGGACGAGTGCATTCCACACACCCTTCCTGTTATCAATGTGTCACTGTTTGGGCGAACATAACCCTATAGACATGTGTGCGGGCGAGTTCATTCATCAGAAATATGTCATTTATGATGTGTTTATAAATATGAACTGCTAACCATGCTCATAGTCATGTTGCGTGTCGTGGTTAGAACCGTAATTGATCTATTGAAAGGTGTCATACATTCGTGTTCGGATATAGGTACAACATCTACACGCACATACTTTCCTACATCATTCAAATGTATTAAATACCGGATACGTTTAATAGACACCAACGAAAGAAAGGTTTAATGAAGGGAATACCCATATATATCCTCTCTGAAATAACTCCCTTTTAAAATAACAAATGTACAACACATCTTCCCTAACATATCATAAATACGGGACACTGGTCACACAATTTATGAATGGGAAGCTTCAGGCGAGGCTGGTATGTTAACATTAATTGTAAGGCCGGGGTATGTTGACATTGTTATGGGCGGTCGGTCGCTTAGTCTCTCTGCTATACATTAGCTATGAATAAACCTGCTTCGACATATATTTCCAATAAAACATTTTCCTCATCAAACAATTTTCCATGATAAACTCTGTTCTCTCTTCGAATTAAGGGTGAGTATTGTAAACATGAAAATGTCCTATAGATTGCTTCCATCACTTTCCCGACAAACCTAGCTTCTTGCCGTCACACTGGTACATGTACTTATCAGTTTTCAATCTATTTTCAAAATAGCACGTTCTGAAGTAAAACTGTGCACATCATGTTACACGGTTAAAACTCAAACCGTACGGTTTATTTGTCATCGCGTTAAAAGGAAAAGCTAGCATTGAAACATCAACTATGCAAGTCGGGGCAGGGCTGAATATTTCTTTACAAATGGTTCACAAAAATACGTCTCTATTGTGGAGCTGGAATAATGCCGAGTGTGGCGTAAAACTAAATTCCCTCACTCACTGATACCAATACATCTAAAAAGTAATGTCATCATTTAAATGGTGAGTTTAAACGCGTATTCTACCCTTACAAGGACGAGTGCATTCCACACACCCTTCCTGTTATCAATGTGTCACTGTTTGGGCGAACATAACCCTATAGACATGTGTGCGGGCGAGTTCATTCATCAGAAATATGTCATTTATGATGTGTTTATAAATATGAACTGCTAACCATGCTCATAGTCATGTTGCGTGTCGTGGTTAGAACCGTAATTGATCTATTGAAAGGTGTCATACATTCGTGTTCGGATATAGGTACAACATCTACACGCACATACTTTCCTACATCATTCAAATGTATTAAATACCGGATACGTTTAATAGACACCAACGAAAGAAAGGTTTAATGAAGGGAATACCCATATATATCCTCTCTGAAATAACTCCCTTTTAAAATAACAAATGTACAACACATCTTCCCTAACATATCATAAATACGGGACACTGGTCACACAATTTATGAATGGGAAGCTTCAGGCGAGGCTGGTATGTTAACATTAATTGTAAGGCCGGGGTATGTTGACATTGTTATGGGCGGTCGGTCGCTTAGTCTCTCTGCTATACATTAGCTATGAATAAACCTGCTTCGACATATATTTCCAATAAAACATTTTCCTCATCAAACAATTTTCCATGATAAACTCTGTTCTCTCTTCGAATTAAGGGTGAGTATTGTAAACATGAAAATGTCCTATAGATTGCTTCCATCACTTTCCCGACAAACCTAGCTTCTTGCCGTCACACTGGTACATGTACTTATCAGTTTTCAATCTATTTTCAAAATAGCACGTTCTGAAGTAAAACTGTGCACATCATGTTACACGGTTAAAACTCAAACCGTACGGTTTATTTGTCATCGCGTTAAAAGGAAAAGCTAGCATTGAAACATCAACTATGCAAGTCGGGGCAGGGCTGAATATTTCTTTACAAATGGTTCACAAAAATACGTCTCTATTGTGGTATGATGTACTTTCAACACACGCCCTGTATTTATCAAACCAGGTCGCACGCTCTAGCGAGCGCGGGCTATTTGAAACGACGAGGCCACGTGAGTTGTCAAGCGCGCTCAATTCAAACTGGGCTGCTTGTCTATTCAGGGCAGCACGCTATACACATAGCTCTATTCATAACCCTTTGCTTTTGTTTTCTTATAAAGGGTTTGCTGCCTTTAAAAACACACACCTTTCATTCCCCCCCTTTCCCGACGCGCTGTTGATGCATGAGTCATCCTATCTGATCACGTGACTTGGATCACCTTCCCTATTTTCCCTCAACCTCCCTCAACCAAAACTACCTTCTGCTTACTTAGACTATACTACTGCCGAAGACCCGGGTTTCATTCCCCACATTGGTACAATGTGTGTCCCTCGATTTGTAATTGCTGGAATATTGCTAAAAGCAGCGTAAAACCCCACCCACCCACCCACCCACCCACTCACCCACTCACTCACTCACTCACTCACTCACTCACTCACTCACTCGTAAAGAGAACTTCATTATGAAGTAAAACACCGACATAAGTGATTTAACAGTCAGTGAAGATACAGTAAAATCTGCCTTAGATTCCGAAAGGTTCATCTGTTCACCTTGCAGAGTGACTATGTGATCTGTGGTGGAGTTGCCAGGTCCAGATATTATATAAAGGCAAACTTGAGATGTTTTGGAATTCCGTTTGGTGTTTGAGGTTTAATATAAGGGTAACGCTATTTTTCAGGGCATTATCATTTGCAGAAGCCCGAGGTCTTCCATTAACTGCCCGACGAAGGAGGGCAGTTGAAAAGGCCGAGGGCTTCTGCAAATGATAATGCCCTGAAGAATAGCGTTACCGTTATTATAGCTAAAATGGATGGAATTTTGTATCAAATAAAAAGAAACAACAATATCGGTTTTGAAACATTTACAACAATCAACACAAATGTCACTGACCCACTATTACAAATATGGAAACGTCATAGAACAAACCAGATGACGTCCCTATTTAACGTGACGTCACCTATGCCTACCCTATGACGTCACCCAACAACGGACGTGATAATGGCCCGTCGTCAAGCCATATGAGGGCATTATCAAGTTACAGTGGCCCGCTGATTCTTGATAACATGCGGGCGGTTTACTGATAATTCTATCCATTTTAGCTATAATATTCAGTATGACCTTGCAGCAAAGAGACCTCACCTTAAACCTTGTCCAGGTCAGCAGAAGCATAGTGTTAGAATGTCCTCAGTTGCAGCATACTTTTAACATACCCACTGTGTCACTCAGAAAAGAGTTGAAACGTGAGTTTAATGCCGCTTTGAACAGTAATTCTGTTGCATCACGGTGTGTGTATAGCGGCGTCTTAGACGGTGGGGCCGGCCACCCGTGCGCGTGACTGGCAATGTATGCTACGCAGGTAATGGTTTTATCCTGTTTCAGTATTGGCTTGAAGGACTTCAACAGAAGCAAGAATGTCCACTTCCACGACATTGGACTCTCAGGGACGGACAGTGACTCGTATGTCGCTACTAAAGACATATATGTAAAAAACAAACAGATTTGGAAAATCAGACGCCTCGAGAGTATCATGAAGATGCTAGGTCATACAAATGTAAGTGTTGTTTTTACTCACGATATAACCGAGTCCGAAAGTACGTTCTACTTAGCCAACAGATCTCTCTCTCTCTCTCTCTCTCTCTCTCTCTCTCTCTCTCTCTCTCTCTCTCTCTCTCTCTCTCTCTCTCCATACGCTCATGTCACCTCTCTTCTTGAGGAACTATTATATTCCGCGATATAGCTGGTTGTTGTATGGTTGTCAGTGTAAACATGAATTCACACGTACTCAATAATGTTTTGAGGTAAGAAATTGTGATAATTGTGTCGCAAGCTCCGACGTTCATTCAGTTTGGCCCTCACTCTCTAAAGGTTTATATTCCAATGAAATCACACAAAGTGAAGGTCAATTCTTAAATGAACATATCGATAGAAAGAATCAGAAATGGAATAAATGGCACCAGTGTTATATGAGAACATGACGTGAGAACCCGATGTGAGAACAAGATGTGAGAACATAAGAGAACAAGATGTGAGAATATGGAATGAGAACAAGATGTGAGAACATGGAATGAGAACAATATGTGAGAGCATAATGTGAGAACAAGATTCGAGAACATAATGTGAGAACAAGATGTGAGAACATGTAATGAGAACAAGATGTGAGAACATAATGTGAGAACATAATGTAAGAACAAGATGTGAGAACATGGAATGAGAACAAGATGTGAGAACATAATGTGAGAACATAATGTAAGAACAAGATGTGAGAACATGGAATGAGAACAAGATGTGAGAACATAATGTGAGAACATAATGTAAGAACAAGATGTGAGAACATGGAATGAGAACATAAGAGAACAAGACGTGAGAATATGTAATGAGAACAAGATGTGAGAACACGTAATGAGAACAAGATGTGAGAACATGTAATGAGAACAAGATGTGAGAACATGTAATGAGAACAAGATGTGAGAACATAATGTGAGAACATAGAATGAGAACATAATTTGAGAACATGGAATGAGAACAAGATGTGAAAACATAAGAGAACAAGACGTGAGAATATGGAATGAGAACAAGATGTGAGAATATGGAATGAGAACAAGATGTGAGAACACGTAATGAGAACAAGATGTGAGAACATGTGAGAACAAGATGTGAGAATATGGAATGAGAACAAGATGTGAGAATATGGAATGAGAACAAGATGTGAGAACATGTAATGAGAACAAGATGTGAGAACATGGAATGAGAACATAATGTGAGAACATGGAATGAGAACGAGATGTGAGAACATAAGAGAACAAGACGTGAAAATATGGAATGAGAACAAGATGTGAGAATATGGAATGAGAACAAGATGTGAGAACATGGAATGAGAACACGTTGTGAGAACATAATGTGAGAACAAGATGCGAGATCATAATGTGAGAACAAGATGTGAGAATATAAAATAAGAAATGTTTGTTTTTTTCTAGAGACACATCGATGTCCTGAAGATTGACGTGGAGACAAGCGAGTGGCCGACAGCGAAGGACCTGGCAGAGTCCGGCGTGCTGTCCAAGGTTCGCCAGTTCGCCGTGGAGTGGCACCTATTTCCCGCCTATCCCAGCAAAGACAAATACGTGGAGTTTTATACTAGTGTGCAGGGCATGAAAGACAAGGGATTACGCACATTTAGAGCCGACTTTCATAACAGAAAGTACGGAGAAGAAAGCTGGACTTTGCAGGCAGATGTGAATTACGTCAATATACTATTTAAAGGGAACTGAATCATTGTTCAAATTCATCAACAGACATTCACACTATTTAAATACATCTGGGAAAGCGTTTGGCACTATTCCTATCTTTATACAATTTCATATATCTCGAAGTGATTTTTGTGCATTGTGGAAATATCTATACATGACATAGATCGCATTTATATAACTATGTAAAGGCGGTTTATGACGAACAACATAAGTTTGCAATCACAGGTTCTCAATGCCGACGCCATTTTGTTATAGACGTAAGTAAAAATCATGTGGTATCTAACAGTGTCTGATCGATTGTATACGACTAACATATCTTTGACAACCATTCACACGCCAAATACGAGTTTAAAAACAGTCAAAAGTTGGTGAAAATATGTTAGCCGATTAATTTCTGGCCAACACTTTTTCAAACTTCACAAAGTAGATTGTATACTGTTTTCGCACTGTTCATATACACAAAGATGCTTGTAAACAGAAGTCGGCAAACTTGTGTTTGTCGTCGCGTCATAAGGTAAAACCGATTCCTAGTACAAAACCTGCATGTTTCATTGGCTGACTGCAAGTACAGCGTCATAGCATGTAAACCAAAGAAGCAGAGGAAGAACTTTGAAGGATACCATTAGTCAGAGAACTAGTGCCACGGAACAGTTGGCATGGCAACGCATAAATAATGACGGTTTCTGTATTTCATTATAAGAGCTTGGAAGCAAAAACAGAGACGTTTTCTCAGAAATATAAAACAGGATAGGAATTATAATAAACGGTTATTTATGTCGAAATATACAGTAAGCGGGCTTAACTTGTCAATATGTTCATATTAGATTTAGCTGCTCATATGCATAATCATGACAACCCATGAATATATATGGTCTTATCGTTTTTTTCAAATGATGTTTGTTTTTGTTGTTTTTTTGTTTAACGCCGCATTCAGCAATATTCCAGCTATATGACGGCTATAATCAAATGAGGTCCGGACAGATTGCTCTGAAGTCTGTTTCAAACACTGTATCGCGTTTCAGTCAACACCAATCATCTTCATCGTTGTTTGGATTATTGTTACCAACAGAATATACTGATGTCGTCTTGCAGTCGTCCGCAAAGACGACAGTATGAATGCTGATACTCATGTTGCATAAGTCCGATACTCTCACACTTTCTCAGCAGTAACGTTTTATGAACATACCTACAACGCTGTGATAACGTTAGGGTTTTGTGTGAACATCCCTATAACGTTGTGATAACGTTGTGGCTGTGCGTGAATATCCCTACAACGTTGTGATAACGTTAGGGTTTTGTGTGGACATTCCTACAACGTTGTGATAACGAAAAAGTTTTTTGTGGACATTCCTAAAACGTTGTGATAACGTTGTGGCTGTGCGTGAATATCCCTACAACGTTGTGATAACGTTAGGGTTTTGTGTGGACATTCCTACAACGTTGTGATAACGAAAAAGTTTTTTTGTGGACATTCCTAAAACCTTGTGATAACGTTGTGGCTGTGTGTGAATATCCCTACAACGTTGTGATAACGATAGAGTTTTTTGTGGACATTCCTACAACGTTGTGAAAACGAAATAGTTTTTTGTGGACATTCCTACAACGTTGTGATAACGTTATGGGTTTGTGTGAACATCCGTGGAACGTTGTGATAACGATATCGGTTAGTGCGAACAACCCTACAACTCCGTGATAACGTTAGGGTTTTGTATGAACATCCCTACAACGCCGTGAGGGAGTGCGTTAAAAGTTTACGTCACATCGGCAAATTTCAGCCAGATGGTGACGAGAGAAACTTATACATTAATAACAGATATATTTAGACTGTATACAAAACTGTCGTCGGACAATAAAATAATTTGACCATCACAATTTATTTTTAAAACTAGTATGTAACCATAAAAAGATATCACTACACATAACAACACAATATGAAAACGGGCAAAAGATCGCCACCAACTGAAGGGAGATCACCACACTAGGGACCATGGGGACTTTGCCTTGCATGGGCCCCAGCAGGATTTACACCATCCCTACAGTCGCTGGCGATTATCCGCAATTTCAGCCACAATTAAAATTACAAATATTCTACTTTTAAAAGAGTAGCAGACAGAAATATTCTTTGAAGGACATGGACTTCTGGATATTCTCTCAGGGGGACAATAATTTTATACTTCTTCAACCCCCTTCGAGGACACAGCCACTCACAATCTCAGATATAAATTAATTCTACCAATTATAAAAGGTCATTCATTTTATACAAAACATTAACAAAATTTCATTATGCAATTTTATTTATTTAAAAAAAACAATAAATAAATAAGAGCTTATATTATTAAAAAAATCCTTTATTGATGAAACCTTAAAATAGTTATCCCTTGTGATGGAAAAATCAACACAGTCAAGCAGGACATGTTTAGTGGTGATTCTTTCAATACAAGGGATACTGAGTGGAGGATCCTCACGTTTCTATAGATATTCAGAGTATATCTACTATGGCAAAGACGACATCTTTGTAAAATGACCTCTTTACATCTGGACTGACAACCGAAGTAGTTGTAACCGATAATTGGTTTAATTTCATGAACGTTATTTATACCTACTTGGGTGTCCTACTACTTTCGCTTTAGATCACGGATATAATATCTGATTAGTGTATGGGATCAGAAGTGATGTGACAGGTTTGTTGAGCGCTGCAGCAGCAGTCATTGTGTTACGGAAGATCCCGGGTAGAACAACCCATGCTTGCCGTAAAAGATGACCACGATTGCCGTAAAAGGGGACTAACGGGATCGGGTGGTCAGGCTCGCTGACTTGGTTGATGCATGCCATTGTATCCCAATTGCGTGTGATGCTCATGATGTCAATCTCAGGATTATCTGGTCCAAACTCTATTATTTACCGTCCGCCGTCATACAGCTGGAATATTGCTGAGTGCGGCGTGAAACAGCAAACAAACAAACAAATCAATGATTCCAAAATGGCTGGGTAACCAACACGAAATGATGTCTTATGATTGGATGAGCAGGGTAGAGACACTGTAGACAGTCTTCAACGTGAGCTGGATCAGCAGGGTAGAGATACTGTAGACAGTCTTCGACGTGAGCGGGATCACCAGGGTAGACACACTGTAGACAGTCTTCGACGTGAGCAGGGTTCCAGGGCAGAGACACTGTAGACAGTCATCGACGTGAGTGGGATCAGCAAGGTTGAAACACTGTCGACAGTCAATGACGTGAGCGGGATGAGCAGGGTAGACACACTGTAGACAGTCATCGACGTGAGAGGGATCAGCAGGGTAGAGATACTGTCGACAGTCATCGACGTGAGCGGGATGACCAGGGCAGAGACACTGTAGACAGTCATTGACGTGAGCGGGATGAGCAGGGTAGAGATACTGTAGACAGTCATCGACGTGAGGTAGATCAGCAGGGTAGAGATACTGTAGACAGTCTTCGGCGTGAGGAGGATCAGCAGGGTAGAGACACTGTAGACAGTCTTCGGCGTGAGGGGAACCAGCAGGGTAGAGACACTCTAGACAGTCATCGACGTGTGCGTGATAAGCAGGGTAGAGACACTGTAGACAGTCATCGACGTGTGCGTGATAAGCAGGATAGAGACACTCTAGACAGTCATCGACGTGTGCGAGATGAGCAGGGTAGAGACACTGTAGACAGTCATCGACGTGAGCGGGACCAGCAGGGTAGAGACACTGTAGACAGTCATCGACGTGAGGGGGACCAGCAGGGTAGAGACACTGTAGACAGTCATCGACGTGTGCGAGATGAGCAGGGTAGAGACACTGTAGACAGTCATCGACGTGAGCGGGACCAGCAGGGTAGGGACACTGTAGACAGTCATCGACGTGAGCGGGACCAGCAGGGTAGAGAGACTGTTGACAGTCTTCGACGTGAGCGGGACCAGCAGGGTAGAGACACTGTTGACCGTCTTCGACGTGAGTGGGATCAGCAGGGTAAAGACACTGTAGACAGTCATCGACGTGTGCGGGACCAGCAGGGTAGAGACACTGTTGACAGTCTTCGACGTGAGTGGGATCAGCAGGGTAGAGACACTGTAGACAGTCATCGACGTGTGCGAGATGAGCAGGGTAGAGACACTGTAGACAGTCTTCGGCGTGAGGGGGTCCAGCAGGGTAGAGACACTGTAGACAGTCATCGACGTGTGCGGGATCAGCAGGGTAGACACACTCTAGACAGTCATCGACGTGAGCGAGATGAGCAGGGTAGAGACACTGTAGACAGTCTTCGACGTGAGCGGGACCAGCAGGGTAGAGACACTGTTGACAGTCTTCGACGTGAGCGGGACCAGCAGGGTAGAGACACTGTAGACAGTCTTCGACGTGAGCGGGACCAGCAGGGTAGAGACACTGTAGACAGTCATCGACGTGAGCGGGACCAGCAGGGTAGAGACACTGTTGACAGTCTTCGACGTGAGCGGGACCAGCAGGGTAGAGACACTGTTGACAGTCTTCGACGTGAGCGGGACCAGCAGGGTAGAGACACTGTAGACAGTCATCGACGTGTGCGAGATGAGCAGGGTAGAGACACTGTAGACAGTCTTCGACGTGTGCGGGACCAGCAGGGTAGAGACACTGTAGACAGTCTTCGACGTGTGCGAGATCAGTAAGGTAGAGATACTGTAGACAGTCATCGACGTGTGCGTGATAAGCAGGGTAGAGACACTGTAGACAGTCTTCGGCATGAGGGGGACCAGCAGGGTAGAGACACTCTAGACTGTCATCGACGTGTGCGTGATAAGCAGGGTAGAGACACTGTAGACAGTCATCGACGTGTGCGTGATAAGCAGGGTAGAGACACTGTAGACAGTCTTCGACGTGTGCGGGAACAGCAGGGTAGAGACACTCTAGACAGTCTTCGACGTGTGCGAGATCAGCAGGGTAGAGACACTGTAGACAGTCTTCGGCATGAGGGGGACCAGCAGGGTAGAGACACTCTAGACAGTCATCGACGTGAGCGGGATGAGCAGGGTAGAGACACTGTAGACAGTCATCGACGTGAGCAGGATCAGTAAGGTAGAGACACTGTAGACAGTCATCGACGTGTGCGGGATTTTGTAGTCAAATTTGCCTCGTGCTCCCTCAATTGAGAAATAACAGGCAGTACATGGGGAAGTGGCCAGGACGTTTGTGATTATAGGAAACTTCACTCGGGTGAAATTACAGATGACATTTCACCTACTAAAAGTGTACGAAATACTACCGACACTGATACTGAAGAAACTTTGCCTCACACAAGTGTTGGAAACCATACTGACAACATTAGATTTAGTTTCTGGAATGTGTCTTGTCTGGTTTTATAAATTTTGTTATTTGTCAATTTTTAACTGTAACATTGCTACCCGATACAGATTTAAACACTGTTTTGAGTGAATTTCATATATTCTTGAAATATGGTGAACGAATTTCAAAATTCGGAAGACTGTCAGGTGGTGTTATAGTTCTGATCAGAAACCACTTTCTAGATATATAAAATGACCAGAGTTTTGTGAAAGCTGCATTTTCATATTTGTCGAAAAAGATATGTCTGGATCACGAAAAAATATGTTATACTCATGTGTTTATATATACCCTGAATTTTCAACTTGGTATAATGATCCATCACGTCAGTGTAAAAAATGGGCTATTATTATTGCAAGTCAGATTTTGACACTAACTGAGTAAATGTATGGATGTATATAATTTTGTTGGGAGGTGATTCTAACTCAAGAATAGGTATCGACGCAGATTTTGTTGAAGATGACATTCTAGAGTTTCTAGAGCGTCATGATAAATCTACGTGGTTTTTTAGCTAGATAACATTACATTAAAGTGCCACCATGTTGACACCTTGGTGAACAGGTTTGGTAAATGCTTGTTAGAAATGTGCAGTGTTAAAACATTTATATCATGAATGGAAGATGCGGTCCAGATTCGAAGATTGGAGATTACACTTTCATTGGAACGCGGGGAGCGAGCATTGTAGACTATGTCATTTGTTCATGCGACCTATTTGAAATTTGTAATAATTTTGACTTTGTATCACGCTCCGAATCTCCGTATCATCCTGTCACGATATGTCTCAGCACAGCGTATGTAACACGTTTACGAATGCTTCATTCAAATTTGTTTGGAGTGAGTGAGGGAGTTGGGTTTAACGCCGCTTTTAACACTATTCCAGTTATATCGCGGCGTGTCAGCTTAGTGTGGGAGGAAAGCCCGAAGTGATGCAGGTCTCAGACGTTTACCACTTCGGTGAAACCCACGAGCACGGGTATGGTGCTGACAAACCTAGAAACATAATCGGGGCGAACCGGGATTCGAACCCACAATCATAGGTTTCTGGCGTGCCCAAGGGACGCAACTCTGCACAGCGAATCGCGGCGCCTTAGACGACTGGGCCACCCGTGCCCCCTCAAATTTGTTTGGAAACAAGAGAGATGTGAAGAGTTCATAGGAAAATTATCAACAGATGATGAAGTAGAATTATTTTTAAAAAGCAGTAGATGCAGCGTTGTCTTTTCTTAATGACAGCGTGGAATGCATTACTGAAGCGTTATGTATAGCTGCTGAAAATGTGAAGAAAAGGTCTGGCAATACTAACTACAAAGAGCCATGGTATGATATCGACTGTGAGTCTTTAAAGATGCAGATGTTTAAATATACTCACACGCAAAAGAAACGCAAGTGGTTTTAAGCAAATAGGTAACAAACACGGAACCATAAATTGATACGAGTATTAGCATGTAGTGAAGCCTGATGGTGTTATCAATATTTTTGGTTGCATTTTGGAAGCCCCGAGTAAAAACGTCACGACTGTCACGAACTGTAGTGGGTATAAAACTGTGGCCGATTCTTGGACCTACCACTCCTTGGTCAACAATGCCACGCCTAACTCAAATTCAGAGAAACCAGGCTATCGGACGTTTGGAAGCCTGAGAGTCTGTCCAAGATGTTGCCCGTCATTTCAACGTTAACATAACCACAATTTACCGTCTCCTGCATCGATACAATGCTACACAGACCACAGATGACCTTCCTCGGAGCTGTCGTCCTAGGGTCACCACACCTCGACAAGATCGGCAGATTATCCGTCAACACCAGCGACATCCGTTCCTAACTGCAAGTGAAAGTGCTCGACAGACCATAGGAACACATAATCGACACATTAGCCGGGACACTGTGATCCGACGTCTCCGTTCCAACAACCTCAGATGTCGCCGACCAGCACGTCGTCCTGTTCTCCAACCACGGCATCGACAAGCACGACTTCAGTGGGCACAGGGTCATCACAATTTGCGTCATCGTGAGTGGAGGCGTGTCATCTTCTCTGATGAAAGTCGCTTTTGTGTCTCCCATGCAAACGGAAGAGTCAGAATTTGGCGGCGTCGGGGTGATCGTTTCGCTGACAGAAACGTTGTGGAAGGGGATCCATGTGGTGGACCTAGCATCATGATATGGGCAGGGATTGGACTTAATGCGAGACTTGGGCCCATGTGCTTTCTGAATGTTGGTCAAGGTCGGGGACACGGCATCACTGCTCAGCGGCATATCGACCAAGTGATCAGACCCCACGTTGTTCCATTTTTTGCACAACATCAACAACACTCGTCCCCATGTTGCCAGAGCTACCATGGCCTTTCTGCAACAACACAACATCCGTGTTCTACCGTGGCCAGCCCTCAGCCCTGATCTGAACCCCATCGAACACTTGTGGGATGAGGTTCAAAGGCGTCTGCACAATGTGCGCCCAGTCCCTACAACTGCCGATGAACTACGCACAGTTGCTCTGGATGTGTGCAGGAGCATCCCTAGGGCCTTCACAAATCGTCTGATCCACTCAATGTACAGGAGATGTGTGGCAGTGATCAATGCTAATGGTGGTCACACCAGGAATTGACTGACATTTGGGGTATTGACCCGAAACTGTGTAAGCCCTTAACATTTGAAAAAAACAATTATGTCATCTGCCTTTTAATCCGTCTTCAGTCAAATTTTTGTCAATCTTGCCCTATTAGTATTTCTTGTCTTTACTGTTGAAAATAAATAACATGACATTGTAAACTGCATACTCGACTTTTGCGTGTGAGTATACATTTAGGAGAAAAATGATTTGGCCTCACTAGAAAACTAACACAGTGTTCGTAATCAATATAATGAAAGGGGTAGACGTAGGAAATCAGAGTATTATGAAAATAGCTGACCTTGTGGAACACAATATTCTCGATTCGAAAGCATTTGGGGCAACAATTAAAGTTTTTTTGGGGGGAAACGGCACAAGGATATTAATAATATTAATATTAAGGATTGGTATGAGCATTTTAAAGAATTTATTTTCTACACCAGGTAGAGGGAGAAGATTTTTTATTATTTGATGAATTGCAACCAGCACAATTAGATAATTCTGATTATGTAATACCACGAGAGGTACTCGATAGTTCAATAACTCGTGCAGAAATCCTGGGGGTATTAACCATTTCAGAATGGAAAGTAATCTGGATATGATAACGTTAATGGAAAATTAATTAAAACTTCTACTGATATTCTTATTCCATATACCTGGACCCGTTATTTAACAATATGCTTGAAACATCATCATTTCCAAAAGACTGAGTACTTGGCATTAATATCCCAAATCACAAACAACGTTCTGTGGATGACACAAATATATTTACTTATATCATTAATGAAAAGAAAAATATTTTCGACTGAGACTTTTCAGAAAGTTGATGAAGGTCAGTCATGTTTTAGAAGAGGGTACTCTACAATTGATAATTATTTATGTTACAGTCAATAATACAAAGATATCTGACAAAAAGGGTGGAAAGGTCTATGTGCTTTTTGTCAACTTATCCGGGGCTTTTTACTCTGGTATCTTTTCAAAGCGCATGCTCTTAGTAGTAAAATTGGTAAGTTGTTGTGCAATATGTTTCCTAGTGTAAAGGTTTGTGTCCGAAATAATGGTACTATATCTGATACCTTTGAAAGTAATGTTGGCGTGAAGCAAGGATGCATATTGTGTCCTTTTCTATTTTCATTCTTTCTTAATGAATCCGCAAATCCAAATAAATTGTAATAATGGCATCCAGCTTCATCCCGAAACAGTAAAGATATTTCTCCCTTTATTTACCGATGATATAGTAATGCTTTCAAGCACAATAATACCTGATCTACAAAAACAAATTAATGAATTGGAAAGGTTTTGTCAAAAATGGGGTTGGTCGGTTAAACTTAATAAAACCAAAACTGTAGTTAGGGCACTTTATCGGAGAGAAAAATGGAATTACCAAGGAAATGAGTGGAATGCGTATCATCATATAAGTATCTGAGTGTGTATTTTACAAACAGGCTGTCATGGTCTTTGCATGCAAATACTGCTGCAACGCAAGCAAAAAGGATTTTCATTGGAATTCTTAAAAATATTAAAACCCTCGGGATGTTTCGTATACCACCTTTTTTGTAAAATATTTGATACAAAAATAAGTACAATTTTACTACATGGAGCCTAGATTTGGGGTATTGAATTATATGTTTCAGTGGCGAAACTACATCTCTATGCATGTTAGCGATTCCTTGGTGTCAAACCTAGCACCCCAGTTTTAATGGTGTATGGAGAAAGTGGACGATATCC